CAAATCTTAGAGCTAATACTTTGAGGTTAAACAGGTTTGAATTGAAAGCAATAACACTTGAAGGAAGACATTAAGATGGAATATGACTAGGAAAAATCACTGCAGGCTTTAAACTGTTAGAGCTATCACATAGAGGATAGACACGGTTAACTATTCAGACCTTAGAGATATCACTTTGAGGTTAGACAGGTTTTGAATTAACATTAAAGCGCTGTCACTATAAAGTAAAGTATTGTGCGGTACTGATATTTAGAAGCATTCAAATAAAGATAATTAGTGGTATAATTTTTATTACAAAAGGGCTTAATATTATGAGTATAACATAATGAAAAACTTGTTACAAGTTATAGATGTAAAAGTACTAGAAATTCTCATATCAGGGTTTGGCAAAAGAAGTCCAAAATTGTCAACATAAGAGAACCCCCACATGATCACCGGACATACCAATAATTTAAAAATTGAGGCAGCAAACCCGGAAATTATATACCCTGAAATTACAACTAAAATTTCTTTAGTAATCAGAAAATCCTGATTAGGGAAAGAAATAAGTGCTATAATAAACTTATGGTTTTATTAAGGGTATGTAAACCTTTAAGGTCCACAAAAAATTGGCAGCACAAGTAAGAAAAAACCTATATTCTATTATTCAAATTATATCCCTTGTGATATATTTGGCTTCACACGGTGCTAATGATACCAGATTTGACAGATATGCAAAACAAAAATAGTATTGTAAGCATCAGATTGAATTACAATAAATTTGTTAAATTATCAAAGAGTAATAAAAAGACAACAGATAGCCTGTAAAATTTTTCATGACTTAGATTATTACCAATTTTAAAAAATTAGCAAAATATAATTAAAAAACTCAGTAAAGAAGGTAAACAATAAGTTATTATTATTGATATAATAAAACAAATATAATATAATAATTATTATACAATAATATAATAAGTCAAGACAATAATATAAAGAAATTTCTGCTTAGAGAATTTTCTGATAGGCATCAAGGCAAAGGCAAAAAATCTAGACCATGATTAATTAATTGAAATTAAACATAGGCACATTGATGAATTTGAGCTTTATTATGTAACTTAATATAACCTAAGTTACAAGAAAGGAAGAAGTGTTAGCATCATTAGGTTTTAAATAGAATGATGAGTTTTAAATGCATCAATGGCCTACAGCGGTACATAAAATATCAATCTGGGAATATATAAAACTTACAAACTTCACTAATTAAAACAGTGGTAAATTAAATAATTAAAAAGAAATTTAAAAATAATTATAGTAAAATATTTTCCTATTGTATAATACCTATGCTCTTGTGCTCTTCATAACCTTATATAATATAATATATAAGGTTATGAAGAGTTAAAATAAGTAATATGTAAAGGACTTAGTAAATATGGTAAGTATTTTTATGGTAAGATTTATTCAGTAAAATTAAGTATGGTATCATACCAACCATGTTATTATTATTACATTCATATACTAAAACTAGGTATGGTAAACGCACAATAGAGTTATGCTGACAGATGCGTACACTGATTACCAAAATATGTTAGGCATAAAAATAAAATTGTAGTAAGAGGAAATTATGTAAAAATACTTAAGAACTTTATAAATTTTTTTTGATATGAATAGTGACTATTTATATATTTGTACATAACCCATGAAGAGAAGTCAATGGAATGAGACAAAATTTGGGTCTTAGTCCTTCATTGAGAGGCAATTACATAGATATTATTGAATATGAAAGTAGTATATACTTATAATTTTGGAAATGGTATAATACAATACAAAACTTTAAGCAAAACAATATAGTTAAATTAATATAGTTATATATTATTGACTTAACTTAATTATAAAGTTAATATAATTAAGTTAAGTCAATAATAAACTTACTACAACTAAATAATACTTATGGTGTACAATTTTACTCAGAGTCGATAAAACCCCTGCTTCGTATATTAACAAGATAGAGAGGGTTCTATTCATTAATTATTGAGGATTCAATACTTTAAATTAAATAAAAATATGGAAATTAAACATACAATCTAAAATTGAGCCAAGTAAACAAAGAACAGTCGGAGAAAGTATTTCAAGTCTATTCAATAAAATCATAAAGCGGTGTCAAAAGCTAAAAATTGATCAAATTAGTAACGAGAAATAATAAAATTATTATATACTTAACAATGGGGTTCTGTAGACATGACCCAGACACCATGGCAGTTATATTAGATGGGGGGACGATTCTTCTTTTATGTATTTCCTCTAATGTCTATGATGTCAAAAAAAAAATTAGTCAAAAAACCATAGGTTTTTGTTTTTTTCACATGGGCAGTAAATTTAAAAATTGAATTATTTATTTTGAATAAAATAACAAATTATTAATAACACTGCCTATATAATGATAATCATACTACTGTGTCATGTTACAGTCATCTCATAGACATCTCATAATGCTCCTCTGTTACTTTGGCATTTTGTAAAATATGGCACTCCAAGATTTACTCCAAAATTCATACTAAAGCTGAGAACAAATTATCGGACGCGTCCGCCAGCCGCGGCTGACAGACGCGACTTAGCGGTGTGCACGGTAGCTGAGACGGCGTCCTCGGACGCCTCGCTTCGGTCATTCCAGAAAGGTTTTGTCAATCGAGAAACATGAGAAACAGTAACAGCGAGGACGAATTTATAAAGTTAGCGGCAGCTGCTTTATGTCGTCCTCCAAAAAAAAAAGGGGACCCAAACACTCCTTGTCCATGATATTAATGTAAAACGACTCGAGTATGGTGAATTTCATACATTGTATCCAGATTTAGAAAAAGATGATAAACGTTACAAAATGTACTTAAGAATAAATACATTTATAGTGCTGCAGTTTGTGGTTATATAGGTACTCGTGGCCACGAACACATTCAATTAATTTTTCTTCATCACACATCATGTCGCGAGCGCAGTTGGTTCGCTTGTGACACTCGAAACGTCCGCGGACGCGTCCCGTGCACCGTTCACACTGTCCGCGGACGCACAAACATCCAGCCGGCTACGTTCTGTCGTACTGTTATTGAAATCTAGCCAGTACATTTAATACTACACTGTGCAAACTATCGGCCGTAAGACGCGGACATGACCTTGCGTCGCTCTTGAGCGTTCGGACGTCCGAACAGAATCTGGCCGGCTGGATGTTGTGCTGCGTGCGTTGCTGGTGCGTCCGCGGACAGTGTGAACGGGGCACGGGACGCTTCCGCGGACGTTTCGAGTGTCACAAGCGAACCAACTGCGCTCGCGACATGATGTGTAATGAAAAAAAATTTATTGAATGTGTTCATGGCCACGAATGCCTATATTTATAAAAACATATTATTATTACATTCATGTATTTTTAACGTTTATCATCTTTTTGTAAGTCTGGATACAATGTATGAAATTCATCATACTCGAGTCGTTTTACATTAATATTATGGATCCAAGCACTCCTTTTCACTTTTTTAGGAGGTCAACATAAAACAGCTGCCGCTAATTTTATAGATTCATCCTCGCTGTCGCTGCTGGTCATATTTCTCGAATGACAAACGTTTATGGAATGACCGAAGCGAGGCGTCCGAAGACGCCGTCTCGACTACCGTGCACACCGCCGCGTCTGACGGACACGTCCGATAATTTGTTCTCAGCTTAAGAATTATAGTGAACTCTCCTATGTCAAATACTATACATTATAAAATAATAAAATTATTAATTCTCTATTGTACCAAATTGTAGTAATATAATGAAATTCCTTACCGGGCTTTTGTGACTTTTACTTAGGTTTGAGTTATAAAAATAGACTTAATAATAAGTTACTTTTAGATTAATTAACAACAGAATATTGCAATAAATATTGAGAATACAGAAATTTACAAAAACTAGTAACAAGCTGAGCTGTGATGAGTTACAGGTTATAATATAACGTACATTGTCCTTCAACAAATATTACATTTATTCAAAGGGGAGCTCAGATGTATAGTTAAGATATAGATAGAATTTCACTTCAACAGGATTTGTATGGGAAAAAATAAATGAGAAGGGGTTGAGCCTTTCTTGTGAATAGAAAACAGACCACAAGATAGTGATAAATTTAACCCACTTCGAATAGTATTTCTTAAGTAAGTTAGTAAGTTATAATATGTTAAATTAAAATTTATTATAAATTAAACTGGAATAGATATTCCAGATTGTTTTCTTTTTCAGTCATAATTCTTCTACATTCAAGCTGGCCTTATGTGTATAAGGAAATGTTATAAAATAAAGATAATTTATTTTATGTTATTAATTTAAATTTATGATATACAGACAATATCTACAACATTTTTTATAAAATAAGGAAAATTGCAATTTTCCATTTATTGTTATTATAAATTCGCAACCCTGTCTTCAAACATCTACAATTGTTAAGAATGTCTATGACAAGGAGAGAGTATAATTAAATGGTTAAACGAAATTACCATAAGTGAAGTTCAACCAACTAAAATGTTTATTTAGAGTGGAACTGAACAGCACACCCAAGTCTTTACCTTCAGTTTTTCTGTCTAATGAATCTTCGTTAATTTTATAGTAATAAGTTTGTTTACATCTCTAATTGGTGAAGGTTATAATAAAACATTTTTAACATTGAGCTGCATATCGTCAAGCCGACACCATTCAGATATTACGTCAATTAGTCAGATAAATCCTACTACACGGTATATTTTCAAATCGTCTGCGTATAGAAGGCAAGTACTGGACAGTTTACAAATCAGATCGTTTATAATATATTATCGTATATATTTATTCTGTACACACAAAATTAAAACTATTGAGTCGAGCCGCTAGGCACTTTCATTATCATCATAATCATCACCATCATTGGCATTAAACTTGTTAAGACTATTTGGTACGAGTATATGTTTTTTTACTTTTACATTTTACATTGTACAAGTTTGTCTACTTTTTAATAAATAAAGATGAACTCATACCTTGCAAATGCAACGGAAGCAGCTACTCCAGTCGTGCTCGAGTCTTGAATCCTGAAGACGAACAGCTTCGCCTTCGTTTGAGCAGGGTGCGCGCTGGCCTTCTAAAAAATATTGATTTTATGTTAATAATAGATACATACGTTTACTTTATGTTATAAAATAAATAATTTGGCTGACTCAGTGATTGAGATGCAAAGATTCAAATACTGGTTAAAACGCGCTACATCTTAGCTTTCAAGAGCTACAATAACGCTTACCATCAAGTGGACTGTGTGCTCGTTTGACAAGAAATCTTCAATATTTATATTGCACACATATGAATACCAGCGTAAAATAGCTGCTTATTGCTGCTGTGTTTCGTATGATGAGTGTAGAGATCCGGAGACCCTTTTTTACTGGAAACGATGCATTTCATCTTAGTCCTAACTGGTAAAAACGCATCTGCATTTTGATTCTTAATCTGGTATAAATGTAGATATCTATGGGCCACAGCATCCACTTACCATCAGGTGGACTGTGTGCTCGTTTGTCACCCTTATTTTATAAAAAAATACATTTAGTGTTATATACTGTCATCCATCTAGTAATGAACTTAAATTAATACAGTTTATTTTCAGGAATTTAGCGCGCAAAACGAATTAAATTTTTTAATAATAACTATGGTTTAAGTTTATTATGTAGTTCTAAAAAGTATCTATAGCACTCTATTTGAAAGGATTCATTCATTCAAAGCTTAGCTTCACCTTCCATCGGATCTAATATCCGAATAAATTTAGAGGTTAAGGGGATAGAGTAAGTCAGCTCAAATTCTAATTTCGTCCCCACTTGCCCGCGCGTCGTATGCTATGTACCGACATGTTTGTAATCACTAATACTGTAAGTAGAAAGGTCGTTAGACACTTATTTCATTAGGTTTATCATATTTATGCCTGTTTCTTAACGCCAAGCCAGTCGCTTCTTATTTTTATTACGGTTATTTCCCATTTTAATTTTACGTCGTCCTGTTGGGTAATGTATATTCTGATCGTAAGCGACACAACTTCTCCGTTCAAAGGCCGAAGCGAAGTGACCGTGCGGCAGGAATCACGCTTCAAGTGGCCAATAGTTTAGGTAATTTCTTTTTTACAGTGAAAATAATGGTATTTTAAAAAAAGTAAATAACATAAGCACTGCTTTATAGTTAGTTCAGTTAGTATGCAAAGTTTCATGATCTTATTTAAAGTGTTTTATGAATAACAGCGGTTTATTGTTTATTTTGGAGGTAGCTTTGGATTTTTTTCTATCGAGAAAATTTTACGAAATCGTGTTTTGGTCTAACATAGTCCTTAACATTAATCCTCAAATTTACCATATATTTATTTCACAATTAATGCTGCAATATTTTCGGCATAACTAAGGATCTTGCTAAGCCATTTGAGATTATATTTCCTCTTAAGTTTATCAACCAAATTGGCGATATTTTAAAAATGGGCCACCTTAGAAGTACCCTTAACCGACGATCATGTATGCGTAGATGTATGTATGTAAAAGAGGCGCAAGAGGTATGTCAGGATCGTGCCAAATGGAAGTCCGTAGTCTCTGCCTACCCCTCTGGGTGACAGGCGTGAGTGTTTCTGTGTTCATTTTTATAAATTGAGAGGAAACTTCTGTAACCCGACTGGAAATTGACAGTAGTGTTGTGTAGCTCTGGTGGGAATCGTAATTTTCTTTACTTAGACGTTTGACGTTTAATAAAATTGATAATGGTTATATTGTGTATTGCGGTGTTTAAATATAACTCATTCTTTTGTATTATATTGACATACAGTTACGGAAAAACAGAAATAGAAACAGAAACTTTTATATTCAATATAAATTATAAATAATACTTCTATTTTTGAAAGTCACTCTTTTGTTTAATTAAATGATTCCCAAACGTAAACAGTTCTCACCAGAGTACGCATTGCGGATCTGACATCCGACAAAAAATGGTGTTTGTAAAATTAACAAGCGGAAAAATTAAAAAGTTTGTACTACAGACTTCAATACGACCGAACCAATGCAATGTATTCAAAGTCAAAAGTTATTGATCAGATCTTGATTAAATTTATATGGGACCACACGAGAACTAGCTAGCACCAGCTTTCGGATATAAAAAGAGTCATGAAAATCGGTTCACCGAGAGAAAAGTTACGAGGTAACAAACGTAAAAAACATGCAGTCGAATTGTAGACCTCCGACTATTTGAAGTTGGTAAAAAGTAAAATAATACTACCAAAGCGCCAGGTACAAAGTCAATATATACTGTACCAAAACGCCAGGTACAAAGTATAGTATTGTAAATATACTAAATGCTTGCCACATAGATTTATAACAAGTAAATACATTTAAAAAATATCTCAACACTTCCTAATATTCGCAATAATGAGTCATCTATGTAATATGATCATAAAACATATTGGTAATATAACAACGTATATTATACTTATGTGTGTTGGCAACACTGTGTTGCAATTTTATAAGAAGCAGAGTCTACGAGCAACGGTGGTGATTTATTGAACACAACTCATAACCATTGTTCTATTGTGTCATGTTGTTTAATGGATCGTACACAAACTATCAAAATTGTTTTAACGTCACTACGTAGAGTACATAACAAGTACTATATTTCATTATCTTTTCTTTTATTTTTTACATTCCTTCTGTAAAAAAATTGATTTGTCCGGCTGAAGGTTAATTTTAAGACACGTTTGGTTTTGTCATTTAACTTTTAAATAGTTTTAATTGAAATGTGATGATACGTTTTTATTTAAACCGGATTTCAACCCGGAAGTTTAGTATCGATGATTAATTTTAAGATCCTAGTATCAATTACTACTATTGAAGTATCGTTCTCTTCTATCAAGCATTTTTGATTATTTATTTACTGACTTAAATTGATTTCCTTAAAATGCTACCAAAGTACAATTACTAATTTATATTTCTTATACAAAAACGAAAAAAGCATCGTATGCTGTATTAAATTTAAACAAATTGCGCCTTCTTTTCTTCTTTTCTTCGTTTCTAATAATCAGTTACCGTTACAACCTATCAAAACTCCCCTGCTGCACAAAGGCGCTCTCCCAAAATTGATTAGTAGCGCGATATAATATGCCATAATTGACACGCTTGGCAGTCGTTTTGGCAATCGCATTTTTATTTAGTTATTACTAGGAATTCGCCGCGTCTTGGAACGGGTGATTTCCATATCTCGAAAACAGCGCCATCTACCGGGTGCAATTGAGTTTTTAAACCATCTAGGGAATCACTCAAATACCCACACACAAAAAAAAATCATCAAAATCGGTCAAGGAGTTTTTGCGAGACTAACAGATAGAAATTGATTTTTATATATGGAGATTACGAAGACTCTGCTGCCCTGAAACAAAACTACAAAATAGTTTTGTTTCCCTCTGTCGCCTCTTGCAATACACTCGTAATCATATTATTTAAAATTATTTCTTAAACTAAATTAAATAAAAAGTAAATAATATAGCTAGTTGGTCATTCAAAATAATCATTACACCTCTACACAATTCCATAACTGAACATAAGCATATCCCATAGATTGCCATAGACCATTTTTTGAATCTTATTTTTCGTAAGGTACGTGAGGGTAATATGGTCGGTCACCTTAAGCTTTGCAGCCCTATAAAACTAGGAGGACGAGAGAGACAAAAGCATAAAGTCGTTTACTTTAACTAATTTATTAAGGAAATAATAGCAAACAAGCTTTGGCAATAATTAGGGACACTTCGAAAACTCAACTTAAAAATACTAACTTACACAATAGTAAAACGACAAAAATATTTTATATTTACTATAATGTCAACTGTGAAAATGGCATCGATAAAGCAGGGCCTTTTCTACCCTTTATTATTTGATTGACTGATGAAAAGCTACCGTATGACACAGCCATCTATGCAAATAAGGTAATAAGGTAGTGGTTTTTGCATAATAAGAAAGTGACCATATTACCCTCACGTACTATAAGTTCTTCTTAATAATGAAACACACATACGTCAATAACAACTTGAGTATATTTTAACACAATATATCACCGACTTTAGAATTTGATTTCAAAAGAAAAAACAATATCTAAAATACATTAACAAAATAAACAAAGTTACGCAAACATTTGTCAACCTACAATAAACTGGCTGGCGTCAGAAGACGCTCATGTAAATTTTTGCTTGTTATTTCAAGTTGCGCGAGCGTCGTAAAAACGGCATCGGTTTTACATCCCCGTGTGTCGCGGCTGCCTGATCACATTTTTACCTTGATTCAGAGCTACGGATCCGCATTCTTATTACGTATTATACCTAGCTGTTTCGGGCGCCGCCGCTCGCTAACTCCTGCGTAAATATTTTTCTAATTGATGTGTGCCCGGCGCGCGATCATTCGCGTTACCGCCATTGCTTTGCTTTTTCACAGTTGTATTTACACCAGATATTTCTCATTGAAATAGTTTTAAATACACAAATATGCAAAAAATATACTACGTTTGGTTTATCTATATTAAAGTTATGAATTCTAAGTTATATCAATTTTTCGCCTAAGGTTTTAATATTATTAGTTTTTTTTTGAGCTACTTTGACTGAAAACTTATTTTTTTATATAAGAGGGGGCAAACGATCAGACGGCTCACCTGATGTTAAGTGACTACCGCCGCCCATGATCAACCGCAACACCAGGGGAATTGCAGGTGCGTTGCCGGCCCTTTAGAAAGGAGTAAGCTCTTTTATTGAAGGTCCCCAGGTCGTATCGGTCCGGAAAAATCGCCGGCGGTAAACTATTCCACAGAGAGGTCGTACGCGGAAGAAAACTCCTTGTGAAACGTACAGTGGTGGCCCGCCAAGCATCCAGATGGTGTGGATGGTATCGGGGCGTTTGCCGCGTAGTGCGTTCACGAAATTTGGCGGCTGGGATTAATTCGAACAATGACAGAATTATATAATAAGTGTGTGTTTTATATGTTTAAAAAAAGAGGTGGAAGGTGACAAACGAGCTACAGATTTCCTAATAGTTGGTAGTAACTAAATGAATAAGGCCACAGATGCGTTTAAGGACAAAGACGAAATGT